TTCATGAACCTGAAACACCGTGGTAAATAAAGAGAAGGGGAGGGGGAGGGGGAAGCTATGAAGCAGTTTTGTTTAAAAAATACTATTGTTTTTCTTTATAGGGGAACACAAACTTATTTTATTTTTATAAATATTTCTCATTTAAGCACCACCCGAACCGAACTCGTCAAATATACTAAGGCACATTAAGGGTTGCATAATATTGATGGATATTGCACTGGTGATGTGGCACTTTTAAATTTAGGTAAAGGTCGCACTTAATAATAAAAAAACAATATACATATCGATGTTTATTACAACATGAATTTGACTAATTTCATTTATTACTACTTCAATATAATTGCAAGCTTTAAAAATTATTTTATTTTATTTTATTTTCCAGGGTTTTTGCTTCCGAAGAAAAGGTGAAGAGAGTCAAAATTATTTTTAAATAATTAAAATTTCTTATTAAAATGAATACTTCAACAACAAAAAATTTACTTTGGAAACGAGGTATTTTATGTAGACGTATTATAACCACCGTTCGAGAACTATAGTAAATTTTTGGGAGTCAATTTTACTTCACCGATAGAGTAGAATCTACTCCACAAGTAGGAGTAGTTTTTGGAGGAGTAGAAATGACTCCCAAAACAGAGTAAAAATGACTCTTTCGGAAACTTGAAGAGTCAGATCAGCTCCGATTCCAGAGTTGTGTAAATGGGAGTTGAAACAACTCCTTCTAGTGCAGAGTTAAAATGACTATTTGGAAAAATGAAGAGTAAAATAAGCTCCGATTGAAGAGTTGTGTAAATTGGAGTTGAAACTACTCCTTCTAGTGCAGATCATTCAGTACTGAATGTTGGGAGTAAAACTAGTATTGTAAGATTCTTAGATCTTAGACCAGCGGTTTTAGCCCACATAATTACATTCTAAGCTCGTTCACGTTTTTATTGTTTGAGATCGGGAGGATTATACCATGAGGTATGGAAAGAATTTGTTCTTTTTTCCCCTTTAAGGCTATATAGACATCATGCAGTAACATGTTGTAATGTTTCATAGAACCTCGTATAGGTCAACTGCAGAGAATTAATCGAGTAATAAGAAGGTATCGTGTAAAGATTTCTAGCAACTAGACGGACAGATTTTCTAAAGTCATCCAATAAATGATATTTGTTGTGGTTCATGATGGCGAGTATTCATTACATCCAGAATAAACAGATCCCACAATTATACCAAGCAAGGCGATTCAAATTGAGTCTCTTTTTTTATATGATGTCGTCTCAATATTGACAAGGAGTGCAGCAGATACGACGACAATAACAAAACTGAAATAAAAATCAACTTGGTTTGCTTTATATTTTACTTAAAAAATAAAACAAAACACAGAGACGAGTGTTAATTTATTCTATGGGGAATTATTTAATTTTTTTAATGCTTAGCAAATCATCATCAACAATTGTTGAGGAACTTAAGTTCCTTTAATTTTTGATTGGTTAATGAAATATAAACAAATAATGTGATTGTAATTTCATCAGTAAAGAATTACTTATTATAAAATAACTGTTATGAATGTCGCGTTCTGATTGGTTTCGAGCATGTGCTGTGTGCAGTCATAAAGCACTTGGGGGTTGGCAGAACACTCGAGAAATGTCGAGAAGCACTCCGCTACGCGTCATGCTTCTCCTAACACTTCTCTCGTGTTCTGCCGACCCCCGCATGCTTTATCACAGCACACAGCACGCGCGCGCGTTTTCTATTTCTTCAATTTTTGTCCATGATCTCATGTCTAATGTTAACAAATTTCACACCATGGCCAGGTGTTGGCATGTCAATCAAGTGTAATGGCAAGTAGTAATCTTTGAGATCACTTTGTACAATTACATTTGAGAGTGGACTGGGATTATCATCTACCTCATATCACAGTAAATTTTTGGGAGTCAATTTTACTCCAAAAATGGAGTTGAAACAACGATGACAGAATGACTCCTTTTTTGGAGTTGAAATAACTCCACTATATTCAGAGTAAATATGACTCCCTGTGGAGAGTAATAACAACTCTTTATGCGAGAGTTGAATTAACTCCCTTATGGGGTTTATTTGACTCCCTCTTTGGAGTAAAGA